GAACGAATGAAAAGCAACGACCTCCGGACAGTGCTAAGGGCCGCTGACAAGGAGAAATGCGGTTGACTCAAAAATGAGAGGGAGAGAGTGTGCGTTTCAACTTCAGCAGAAGTATGATTTGTAATTCCTGGACTGATAACAGAGGGAACACGAAGCTGTTCGCTATTCCATCAAAAGGTCAAAATAAAACAACTCCAGAAAGTGAAAAAGGCAGCAGACAGAAAGAGAGACGAAACAGACGGAGACGGAGACGGTCATCACTTTAGAGGGAACACACCGCTGTTCGCTCTTCCACCAAAACGTCGAAATAAAACAACTCTAGACCGTGAAAAAGGCAGCAGACAGAAAGAGAGAGGGAAGACAGGAAGAGAGAGGGAAGACAGAAAGAGAGAGGGAAGACAGAAAGAGAGAGGGAAGACAGAAAGAGAGACGGAAGAGACAGGGAGACGAAGACGGTCATCAATATACTCTTTGACCAATCCTAGAGTGATTGTGACAGACGGGACCACGCCACCCTTCGCTTCTGTAACGAACACTCAAAATCAAACAGTCTTCGGACCGTCAGAAGGGCGTTAGACAGAAAGAGAGAGAGACAGGGGGGGGGGAGAGCAAGCGGGGGCACCGTGAGAAGGGGGTGGCAGAGAGATAATGAGAAAATGAAGAGCAAGCGAGAGAAAATGAAGATCAAGTTGGAATGATTGATCGATTAATCATAAGAAGTGATGAAAAAGGACAAGGCAAGACGACGTGCTCCCGCGTTCATCTAACAAAAAAACACAGTTGACTAAAAACAACCTCCGGACATTTGAAAGGGTCCCCAGCAGAAACAAACGGCGAGGAGGAAGAGAAATAGAGAATTATAGATTGTCAACAATAGCAAAAGTCCATCTAATGATTGACTCAGCCAAGCGCAATTGCCAATTGTGCGAATCAACGGGCTTCCTCTCATGCTATCGCAAAAGTAGCAAAAGTCGCTCGCTCTTCGTCCCTCCACCAACCAGTCGACGAAATAAACCCCTAAACACGAGGGGAATAACGCACCTAGGGAGAATTACCCACCTTTTTCAATCCAACATCGAGAAAACAAGTCGCTCTTCATTAACACCCTTGCAACAACAACCAGTCGACAAAGTACACAACAACCTAAATGAGGGAATTACGCACCTTTTCGGGATCTCCTCCCTTGTCAGGGTGGTTCTTGATGGCCGCCTTACGGTACGCTTTCTTCAACTCATCTGCACTTGCATTCTTTGGCACCCCTAGGATATCATAATACCTAGTATTATCACTCTTCTTGGGCATGCGACCAAACATCTTGGAAGACGCGCCGGCAACTTCCCCGCTCGAGAAAGTAAGTCAAAATTTTGAAGTGACCGAATTGACCACTCAACACTCTTCTTCGCCCAATCAATCAACCAATCAATCAAACGCTGAAGAGTCAATAGCTGCTTCAGCAACACAGCCACAACCTGCACCTGTTCCGTAACAACGAGCTCTCGCGCATATGAAGGCAGTCAAAGCCTTATGAAGACTGGCAGGGTGGAGACTCAGTGAGGAAACAAAGTATGTGCCGCACTCGGAGGAACACGAAGTCTGGACAGTGCGAACGGCTGCAGAAAAACGACTATAGAGATGTGAAGAAGAGAGACACACAGAGAGAAAGAGAGAGAGAGAGAGAGAGAGAGAATATGCCAACTCGGTAGTTTAATCAACTCTAGAGTGCGAAAGAACAATGCGCAAGCTTGCGTACGCACGAATCGGAGAAACAGCGATCACTGCCACGATATCAATCTCGGAGGAAACTGGAACTCGGTGGATTGCTCTGTGTCGACTGATTGCCCGGCCCGCTCTGCGAAGCAAAAGAAATATGCAGTGGTGTTTTCCGTCTGATATCTGTTTTTGTCCTCGATGAAAGACGCTCCACCACTACATACACCACATGTTAGAGTAGGACTTGCTTGCCGCCGAGCTCGCGAGAGCGAGAGCAAATTGTTCTATTTCGTCTCCTTTCCCGTTGTTTAGCGCACGACGACGATGCGATCAGCACCAAGTCCTTCTCAAGCCGCCTGACAATGCGCGCGTATAGAGATAGAGAGAGAGGTGTGTGGCGGGGGGAGAGAGAGAGAGCGAGAGAAAGATGGTTCGTCGTGACTCCAGCGATGTTGGCGTCTTCGACTTTTGCGATTGCAAGCTGAGGAATGGTCGCGCGCGCTCAATGCCTCAAAAGCCCGACCAACCGGTCGCCCGAAGACCTTACACACACAGACGCCGCCGCTGTTGTTCCCAAGGACCGGGCCTCAGAAGGCAGGAACGAACCTTCTGCTACCCTTCCTCACCGTCCACGCGGACTTCCAGAAACCTCTGCTCTCCCTCTCTCATCCCCTGCCGCGCTCCTCTCTATGAGAAAAGACGCGGCAGATCCGTCCTGGACCAAATGATTCTTTCGTTTTCGCCGATCTTCTAGAAGCACCGCGGGGGCGCGCCTGACGAAACCGGCTTTCGTCCATCCACATGGAAGAGCGGAGGGGGCGGGGAGGGGGGAGAGAGGGGGGAGAGATGGGAGAGACGGGAGAGCGGAGAGAAAAAGCGGAGAGAGAGCAAGGGGTGGGAAAGCAAGCCAGCACTCGAAGAGTAGTGACAGAACTGATGGGATGGCACCCACTGGCCCCAGCACGTGGGAAGAAGGAAAAGGAACATTCCTGTCGTGGCATACTCACAGCAACACCACCTGGACGTGAGTACGGTCGGATGCATTCAAGCCTGGATGGTCTCTACGTAACAGAGGAAAGTTTCAAGTTTTACCTCCGCTGTGACAGGAGTGCGAGTCTGCCCTGAGGTACGGGGGGCCGCGAGATTGTGGGCGGAACTTCTTTGGACCAGGACCCGGCCACTGTTCTATCTGGTCCATCGGATCCAGGTGCTCAAGTACTCCACCTGTAGAATTGAACCAAAAAAAAAAAGAAAAAAAGAAATGAACAAGGATCTGGGACCATTACCCACCAGAGACCAGCCCCACCATGGGACCACAGGAGAAGAGGTAGCATGTTCAATCCCAGCGCTGCTGCTGCGAACTCTCAAACCTCACAGTATACCGAGCCGCAGGCAACAAGAAATGGGTGTGGGTGGTGATTTACACCACTGGAACCTTTCCTAGCTATTTTTCAGAGATGCGGCTCATTGAGGGTCGCAACTTTCAGAGCCAAGCCACGGACAAAAAAAAAGGTTTTTTTTTTTCTTTTTTCTTTTCTTTTTCTTTTTTTTTCACCGACAAATTTCATCAAAGGCCTTTTGTCGGCCTCCTCCAAGAGTTATGGGCAAGAACATCTCCCATATCTCACTCTTCTCAGCACGGCCGTCTACCCCTTTTGCATTGACAGGAGCTCGGCAGACTGGACAAGAATGGCTGGCAACGCCAGCCAGAAAGGTAAAAACTTTTTTTTTTTTTTTTTTTTCAGAAATTCGTTTTTCTTAGGCACACGGCAGCAATCCAGGTTCGGAAAGAGAGACTGGAGGTACAGGTGGACAAACCAAGCCCTTGGAACCACAGGGCCAGAGGTAACTACTTTTAGGGCCTGCATGCACTACCCTCCATGCGCCAAGTTTGCCCAGCAGGCGCCTGGTTGCACTTACTCGCCAAACTTGGCTTGGCGAATGAAAAATATGTCAGACTGCTCGCCACACCGTCGACACAAGTTGTAGCGAGTGTTTTCGGTTTGTCCAGCGTTTTCGGTTTCCCCGTGTTTTCGGTTTGTCGAGTGTTTTCGGTTTCCCCGCCTGCCTGTGCCCGGCGGTTTGTGGAGGGTGGTGGTCCGCGGACCTCCCCACAAAACAACTTTCTGGAGAGTGCACGGCTGCATGAGTCGAGATCAGGCAGACGGAATTTTTGAACTTTTCTGTAGAAGAAATATTGTGGCGAGTAAGTGCAACCAGGCCTCCAGTTCGACACGATTCTCATTTTTTTCACTCTCCACCCATTCGCCACGAATTGTGGCCGATGACGAGTAGTGCAACTAGGCCCTTAGCCAAAAACTCTTTATGGACTGCCCTATCAGCGGGGAGCTCAAACCCGCAGCACTTCATGGAATACCAAGTGGCGCTTAAATACATCCCTTCAACGGAACAACAGTTCGAATGAACAAGACAACAGGGTTAGGAACTAACCCCTTTTAGAAAACAAAAAAGAAGGAAAAAAGTAAAAAAGGAAAAAGAAGAGAAAGATCCTCCCTCATGCATG